GAATGCGTTTAAAAGAAATATAGTTGTCACGGACATTGCTCTCCTAGTAATGTCTAGAATAGATATTTTACATGAAATAGAAAATTAGAGGTTGATGAAAGTTCCAAAGAAATACAGTTGTCACGGACATTGCTTCCCTAGTAATGTCCGGAATAGATATTTTACACAAAATAAAAAATTAGAGGTTGATGAAAGTTTTAAAGACTCGTAACATTAGTATATCTAAAGTTTGAGGTTGGAAGAAATAGAGTATATTTTGAGATCTAATTCAATAAAATTCAGATGAGATGCACATCGATAAAAAGATCTTCGATAATATGTTTAATATAGTTATGAGCATGTCATGAAAAATAAAAAATAATGCCACTTCTAGAGAAGACTTGAAACTTTATTATCGATGACCGAATTAGAAATACATGAAGACTCTAAAAGATATCCTAAAGCATGTCACACCCTAGACAAACAACAAAAAATACAATTACTTGAATGACTTAAACAACTCAAGTTTTTTTGACGGATATGTGTTGAACTTTACTAGGTGTGTCATTATAAACAACCTCGGATTGCATGGCATGAAGAGTCATGACTATCATGTATTTATGTAAGGATTAGTATATAACACATTTTATGAGCTATTATTGAAAAATATTTGACAAACATTAACCGAGTTGAGCTTATTCCGTAAGGAATTGACTTCTACTATCATTAAGGTTAAAGATATGAGACTGTCTCAAGATAGAGATACCTTTAATTTTGTGCAAACTTGAGCGAGATATTTTCATCAAGTTTCTTCGACTTAATGGAACATCTTTCAATCCATTTGGCATATGAAGAAAAAATAACAAGACCGAGTATAATATCGATGAATGTATCCATTTGAAAGATAAATATATTGATTTTGAATCCTTGATTATTCTTTTAAAAAATATTTGTTAACTAACATAGGTACATAATACAAGCATCTTTAAAAACTAAAAAACAATATAAAGAACAAAGCGAGAGTTGAAAGGTCAATATGAAATGCATATTTAGTTGAAAATGCATATTTAGTTGAAGAAGCGTTAAAATTAGGCATCAAAAGTACCACATAACTTTGAGTGTGCTCGAGAATCAAATGACGATATTGAAAGGATGCTTGTTATATTCAAACTGAAGGGAGTAAGTAATATGCACATTTTAAAATATTTTTTAGTGTATTATTATATTTTATGCATTCATTTAATCGTTAATTATCTTTTTTGATAGCTTATATCCATCCGATGCGTGCTCGGTCGGATCTATAAGATATTTCATAAGAATATTGACCTATCCGAAATGAAATAGAAGTCGGTTACTAAGCAAACTAAAGAGTCTATTGAGAGGAGTTTAAGGTAGTTTGTAACTTAATTTATTATGTGATAGTATATTTAAATTAAGAAATATTAACGTCCATTTAAATGTACTAATAAATATTTTTAGCATTCTTACGAAGTTCTTTATGCGGGATCAAGAGTTTGATCAAAGAATTAGGAAATCATGATAGAGTCCGGCACGAAAATGATATTTTGATTTCCTTTTATTAGGTGATGAGACACCCTAAACTAATATATATCTCGTAGGAGATATGGGATGCATGGCAAAAGGAATGGATAAAAGCCGAGTCTTGTGTGCTCGATCCGAACTAGTGGCTCGAAATCGGATGAGCAAGATGGGTGGCACGGGGCTGGCTCGTCTACATATGAAGAGTTTGATATATATATATATATATACACGTTATTTGTAATTATCGTAATATGAATATATATTTTAATATATTTGTTTCAGCGTAAGGAGTTAGGTCATGAACCCGATGCTCATAAAGTGTTCTTGAAGACTTACGTGAAGAAGGTTGATAATAAGTACGTATTCATTGATCACTAGGCAAAAAATCTCGAGTAAGTAATTTATAAGCTTATTTCATACGTATGACACTTTTATATAATTTCTTAAGATTACTATTTAATAAGAAAATTTATGTAATTATGTAGGAAACCACCAATAAAATATTGAAAATGAGGTTGCTAAGCTGGGAAAGGGAGGGTACTTCATCACTCAATATCGACATGAACGAGATATTTAAAAGGGTCAGTTGGAGAAGACAATAAAAGGAAGAGAATGTATAGATTCGAGTCATAAACCTCTCATTATTACTCTAATGTCAGTTCATCCTCTAGTTTGATCACATCTTGGGTCTATATCGATGAACGACTTCGAAAGAAAATATAGGCCAAAAATGCTAGACATGAAGAAGAGAACAAGAACCTTAAGGATAGTATTACATCCCTCCTAGAAAGTCAAAAGTGGTTAAAGCGAGTATAATCAAGAGCAATATGCGATAATGCAGCAGATGCTACTAAATATTCAAAAAAGTAATTCACCAACCAATCCTTTGACTAACCTTTATGTATGGGATGAAAATGTTGATTTTTCAAGACTAATAACCCTATCATCACAATATTTTTTATCACTCTTATGTTTTTATTTGTAGGAATATTAGTACACTTTAATATAATTTGGTATTTGAATATATATATTTGATTAGATTAAAATTTATATATTATAAAGGCTTCATATTATGTTAAATTGGATTGGATTTTATATTTCTTCTTAGCGACATGTGAATGACAAAATAATTAACCGAGAGTATCGTAAAAAAAAAAAGATAAAATAAAATGATTTAGCGATGATTTAAAAGTGTCGCTAAATTCGTCTCTAAATTTGGTCATACTTAGCGATTTTTTAGAAAAAAACTATTGCTAAAAGTCACAAATTTAGTAATGGATTATCGACAAAATATAAAAATCGTCACCAAATTTGTGATATTTTCCAATTATTTAGTGATCGTTTTTTAACATATTAGTGATGGATAAGTTATCGCTACATTAGCGACAAATTAACAAAAATCATCACTAATTAATTAGCGAGAAGGTTTTTGAAGATGGTTTTTAACGTTGCAAAACCTTCGTTAATTTTTTTTTTTTTTTTTGTAGTGCCAGATCATATATCCTAGTAAATATGAACACTATATTATTAAAATTTATTGTTAATAAAAAAAAGGTTTTAATGACAAAACAATCGATTGTGTTTGGTAATACTTATGCTGGCTCCTTGATTTTCTTTAGGTCTTAGATGTGTTTTTCATGCGCTTAAGCCCATATGTCTCAAATTATATTTGTTTTTTTTTTGGTTTATGGGAAATTTGAAAGAATAGATGCCAGTCTAAATTTGAAGGTGTTGAGACGTCAGCATATTACATTATAAGGCAGGTTAAGTCTTGGCTGATTGAGATGTTTTTCATCTATTCTCAAAAAAAAAAAAAAAAAAAAAAAAAAAAAAAAAAAAAAGCAAGCCTAAAGCTATTGAGATTTGGTGACTTAGAAATTTGGGCATTCCCATTATCTCTATTCCTTTGAAGCGAGGGGCCTGGCTCAAATGGAATCGTCCTGTTAAGAGGAATTACAAACTTAATACGTGTGGATCTTCGATGGTAGGAGTTTGTTTTGGTGGTGGGGTGATTAGAGGGAAACATGATCAATTCATTACAAACTTTTCTAATTACTATGATGTAGGAAATAGAATGAGAGAAAAAAATATGAGCGTTGAGAGATGAACTTAAGTTATATGAGCAAGTTTTCCTACTTAAAGTAGATGCGGAGTTAGACTCTTTGATGACAATGAAGGTTATGATTAAGAAAATTGAAGTTTTTTGGAGGTACATTCACCAATTCTATAAGTGTCAAAAGGTTAATGATTCTTATAATTTTTAACATGTTATTTGTCAACAAAACAATGTAGCTGATTGTCTAGGTAGTTTAGCTCACAATCAGAAGTCTTATTTTTCTTTTAATACATATGAAGACCTTACTTGAAAGATTTGTAATGCACTAAGGCAAGATAGTATTAGTATTTACACGTATAGAAAATAATGATTGTAATGTATTATCTTTTTGGAGTTAAGGCTTCCTTGTCCCCTTCTTTTAAGGTAAGGTCGGATTGTCCTCTTATTGTATTTTTTTCTATTTAATTGATAAAAGCAGTTATGGTACTGTCTCTGTTTGCTAAAAAAAAAAAAAAAAAACGTAATCATATATTAATAAACTAATTTACACAAAATCTATTGAATGAGATATGTTTTCTTTTTTTCTTTTTTTCTTTTGATGCATGGTCAAGCAAATATGTGTCCTTCCTTAATTTTAGAGTTCTATTCTGTGGATTGGTATCTAAAACAATTTATTCAATGTCTCTGGATATATCAAATCGATGTAGAAGTGCATCATTAATATCGTCTGAAAAAAAAAATCAATCTCAATTAATACACAAACTAAATTAAGAATACTCTTTATCGTTCAATTTTTTTTTTTAAAAAAAGACTCTGATATATAAAATATTTGACAGAAATAATCTATCGCAACATATAGCAAAAAGGATAAAATAATACAAAGTTTCTTTGTATTAAAAATTCTTAAAAAGAAAACACAACAAAAACTTCAAGAAAAAACTCACAAAACTCAAATTTTATTCATCAATCGTCTTTTTGTCAAAAGGCTATTACAACCATTTAGAAAAACTAGGAAATCCTAATAATAATGAATGAATGAATAAAATAAAATAAAATAAAAATAGCACCTTAGAGTTACTAGTTTTCTAATAAACCAATTTCCTAGATAAATTAAGGTAAGAAATTCTACGAAAACTTAACAAATAAAGAAAGATTATAATAAAAATAATTATTTCGAAAATTATGAAATACTCGTCCCACACCTGGCTTTTTAATTTGAAAAAACTAATTCTCGAGTTCACTGAGAAATTGAACTTTTCCATACTAAAGGAATAAATACTTGAAAAATAATGATCCTGCCAATGTTATTGTATACTACCTTCCCAATAAATTTCTCCTTTTCATTCCAAAGATGATACAACTTAAGAAAACATGCTTGCTTATATCAAATTCCCAAAAAAAAAAGAAAAAAGAAAACCAATACTGTCTGATTCGTTATCGTTTGAGAAACCAATGTTTGCATTAACTTTGGACGCAAATTCACAGCTAGCAAGATCCTCTAGTGAACCCTCAATTTGTACCCGTTCCTCTTGACGAAGGCCATGCAAGTCTTTCATGTTGTCAATTTGGTCATGATTCTTTCTTGGACCAAGCATGCTGACCTGTGGACTAAATAAAACAAGATCAAAGTTACTCTCACTTGCCTTCTCAAATTGTCGATACTTTGGGCCTCTTGAATACCGTGACCATCTTTGGAAGTACATCAGAATTGACATCATGAATAGGCGGAGCCTGATTCGAAATATTTTCCTTAACTTGTCAATTAACTTTAATAGTGTTTTTTTTGTATCAGCTCGTAGTCTAGTTGAACAAATCTATCCTTTAATATTTTTTTCATAAGGAACCAATCTGAACAGGTGTCTTACATTTTGCTAACAAAGCGTTTTGGATGTGTTTCCACCACAGGAAACCTGTCTCTCTCAATCTAAATTCAACCAACCATCTCGTCTTCACCTTTGATAATTTCACATATTCTATCATTTTATCACAATTAGCAAGTCAGTCCATGTTTTAAATTGTCTGCATCGCTTAATTTGTGTCATTGAGATGGTTCCTACCATTCTGTCCATCAATCAGATTAATTCCAACGCCAGTGTACAGTAAAAAGAATATGAGGTTTGTTTGTATTTAAAAAAAAAACGCATAAAAAAAAACACTACAAAACTATAGGAAAAACTCGCAAAACTCAAAATTTATTCATTAATTGTCTTTTTGCCAAAATATTCAGCTATTTAAATATAAAAACTATATAAAAAAAGTAATAATATTGAATAGAAAAATAAAAATAGTATCCCGGAATTAAGAATAAATTCCTAATAAACCAATTGCTTAAATAAATTAAAGTAAGATTTTTTTTTTAAAAAAAACTTAACATATAAAAAAAGATTACAATAAAAATAAGTATGCTTAAAGTTATGAAATACACGCTCCGGTTCGTGATCTCATTAAAATAATCCAGCAAGGCGTAATAAGTGGTCTCAAAAGTGGATTTTTTTTCTCTCTTAAGAAATGGGCTGCAACAACATTTTGGATATATTTATTTTTTATCTAATAAAAAATAGATTAAATCTAAAAAAAAATCATTTAATTATATAGATAGTTTTAATGCTTTTCGTCTATATTTACATTCAAATTGCAATTTTTTTTTTAGAAACGACATAAATTTTTAGAGAATTTAATATTTTTTGTTGGTAATTCTAACAAAAGTCTGTAATTGAGAAATCAAAATAATTTAAAATAAAATTGATATAAAAAATAATTTTAATATAAAATTAATAATATCTCGATGGTTTAATGGCATATTTGATGTTTGCTAAAAAAATAAATAAATAAATCTGGGTGGCCGGAGAAATACATAATAAGGCCAGTTTCAAAATTTCATGTGTTACAGGCGTTGCTTAAATCTCGATCCATGCATGCTTTGCTTAAAATTTTATGTGCATGCTGTATTAAATCAAAGATGGGCTTTGCTCCAGTCTCAGTCCATCTTTATGTAGGAAACAAAGTCAAGCTTTGCAATCCAACCCATCCCCAAGTCACATTTCAAGCTCCAAGGCAACAGCAAGTGAAGGAATTAAAAATTTTGCTGATGTTTAAGAAATATTGTTTTCTTTTTTATTTTTTAAGTTTGAATTTTGAAATTAATATTTGAGAAATTTTATTTTTTTAAATGTATCATATAGATATGGACGATGCACCTTTAAAATTAGTTTTAAAAAATTAAGTCAGTTTTGAATATACTTCTTTTTATTGAAAAAAAATAAATAAAACTGTTTATTCTAACAAAATATTTTATCATTTGATCTGAATATTTGTCCAAAGCGAAATGACTCGTGCCTTCAATGGAAATCTCAATTGAAAAGTGGATCTGATCATACATGAGTCTCGTGAATAAAATAGTTGAAATTTTTAAGAAAATAAATTCAAGAATTTTTTTAATAGGAAAATTAGCATTCCTCCTCAAATATTGATTCGAAAAAGATACAATAAATTGGTAAAAACACACACATATATATATAGAGAGAGAGAGAGAGATTTTAATGAAAGAAAAAAGTGTGGGCGACAGGAGGATGGATAACTGGGTAGAGTGGCACGAAGAAGGGGTAGGGGTTAATTAAGTGGTTAGGGATATAGAGGGAATGTTTTGATGGTTAATTAGGTTTTTTTTTCTTTTTTTTTTCCTTTTTTGTTAAAGGTTAGAGATATCTTTTAGATTAGTTTGTGATTTTATGTATTAATTAAAACCTTTTTTTTTTTTTTTTGCAAATAATTTTAAAGACATATTCCTCCTATAGATCCATTGCATTAAAAAAAAAAAAAAATCTGATGATGTCATTTTAAGGTTCAAGCTAAAGAAATTAAGTTGGGAAACAAATCTCATTGAACATTCAACTACCCTGAAGTTTGGTTAATGTATTTTAACCAAATGTCTTGATGGTATGAAAGGTCCGCTGACCTAATTTTGAAGGTTGATGATCCTTTCAGATGCCGAACTAATTTTGAGTAGATGCAGTAGGCCCTTAAAAATGGGTCAGTTGCCAAAATGGGACTGTTGCTAATCCTTCCCTTCAAGATACCATAGAGTTTGGGCATAGGGGTAGTTAGGTAGTCTATAAATATAAAAGGAAGAGAATTGGATAATGAAATGGGTGAATGACTATTAATAGATTTTTAGTTTAATAATAATGAACTTTTTACACTCGTAAGAGATTATGAGTTTAAATCATTTTTTAAGCATTTAGACCTAAAAAACAACCTATTATAAAAAAAAAAATCAGAATAATCATTTTTCTTTATATTAATAGTTAATTTAATTTGTCATGATAATACAATTTCTTTTTATATTTTGCTAATGCCTAAAAACTGAGCAGCAATGAGTTTTTTGCATGATGGATCTCATTTTCTGTCTCACTAAATACTAAAGGTTGCAAGATTCCTATGTATCGCAAAAAATAAAAAATAAAAATAAATAAATAAACAAATAATTGGGTGAATAACTAAAAGAACTGCGTCATCAATCATCATCAACTTTCAACTGTTTTATATGGTGACACTAAGTTTGACTTTCGTGCATCCACGAAGAGGCTAAGACAGAAGAGAACTTCGCTTGTGTTTGCTAAATTAATCAATAAAAGAGTGGAAATACTCGACGAGGATTAGGTGCATCCAATGAACCAAGATAATAGTAAAATATAGAAAGAAAACGTTTGTGAGTTTTACTATTTGCTTTGTACTTTGTAGATAGCCCATTTTTTTGTTAATTCGTCGGCGGTGCTCCCAATACTATGTGTCATCTATTTATGGAAATTAATGCGGATTAGAACAAGATGCTTACGGGAATTACAATTCATGTGTGGTTGCCAAGTTTACCTTTTCTCCCCCATCAAAGTCAAGGCGACATCCTTCCCTGTCGTTGCTGCAAATTGATATGGGACGTCAAGTTGGGATTTTGTCATATTGTCCTAATCAATGCGCTAGTTAGCTTTTTTCTTTTTAAAAAAAGAAAAAGAAGAGAGATTATATGTTTATGCCTGTTTAATGCTAGTTAATTATTCAATTGTCAGCTCTCATGTGAACGTAGTGAGGGTCACTCTAGATATATACAAAAAATATATATATGTATTTCTTAGAATCCCTATAACATATAATCAGTCTATATATATATATATATGCTTATTAAATGCACTATGAAAATAGAAACTATTGATAAAACAAAATTTCAGTGATTTGAGCTACGTAATGAATCACACTAGCTATTTCTGAGAAAACCAATGTCGGGAGTTGATTTTTTAGAACAATTATCTCTAAATTAAAAGCCTTGGCTGGATATGATATGCAAAGTTGACCTTGGCATATACATAGTGGGTGTACAATTGGGCTTTATTATAATTAATTTGAACCCCACCAAGTCATAGGAGCATTAAACCAATGGATACCTGCATGATAATGTCTCTCTCTCTCCCCCTCATATATCTTTTTTGCCTGCCAAAAGACAAGGCAATACCGGACAAATCCCGAGATACACGTACCTCATGGAGCACATTAATACAATTTCCCCTAATTGTAGGTGAAGTTTCTCACTTTCTCTCTAACCAAATCCAAAAGAAAATGGAAAAAAAGTGAACCACAGGCTGCATGGACCTTTAATAAAGACTTTCGACTCAATTAACGTTTGGATTGTTTCTAATTTACACCTTTTTTTTTTCTCTTCTTCTTCCATCTTTTTTTTCTTTTTTTCTCCAGGGCACATAAGTTTTGACTTTGAAGGTATAATTAATGTTATTGTTTAATTGGTAAATTCTCCAAAAATCTACATGGAACTAGGAAAAAACATAGTATTGAAATATTCTTCCCAACAGAATGAGTCCGTAAAGATAGAAAATGACCACCAATCTTCCATTGTATAAATTAATCATGTCGATGTTTCTGATTATTTCATTTTCAGGGGGGACAAAGTATATGAACTGAATTGATCTAACAAACAGACTACGACATTACTTTACGGTCCAGGCTAAAGAATGTGGAATCCATACATCTCTAGCTATAAATTTACTTTGTTGAGCAAAAGGGTTACAATAAAAACAGGATTTAACTTCAACACATAATTGTGCTCACGAATCTTTGCTTTGGGGCCATAATTCATTTAGTTAATATTTTTAATATAAATAGAGAGCATCATTAATTATATAGATCGAAGATCAATGTCCTCTCCAATGCTACAATGTACCTTAACCCTTTATTTTGACAAAATCTATAAAACATTTAATTTAAAAAAAAAAAATTCGTTAATCTCTTAGAGAAATTATTGGTGAAGAGGTTGAGTGGCATAGAAAATAGTAATTTTCATTAATGAAATATAAGATAAATAGTCATTTGAACTCTGTAGTATTTGAGAGCTAAAGACACTCTATATATCATTTTTAAAGATAGAGATTATGTTAAAAAGAGCATTGGAGATGAAATTTAGGTCAAACCTCTTTATTATAAAAAAAATCTTAATATAAAGAGAGCATTGGATATGCTCTTAAGCAAATTTTTTTTCAATTTGGTAAAATCTCATCTCATAAAAAAAGCAGAGTAAAAAAAGATTAAAAACCTCTCGTCAAAAGGAAAAATGAAAAATATCCCAAACCAAACAATGGAGCCTGAAAAAAGTGTCCCAAATTGAAAACGAAAGATGTATTAAGGGAGCAGGGGAAAAAGGGACAGAAGTTATACCATGATCCAACATACTCTTTCATATATTCATGATGTTCCAAAGAAATGTTACATGGTTAATCTACATCAACATCAAAAGTAAAATTATGATTTACAAGTTCTACCTTTTGCAATATCTTTGACACAAATTCCGAAAACACACAAAATCAAACAAAAGACAGAGAGAGAGGAGAAAATAAGGTGCCCTGTATTCCTAACTCAAAATCAATTATGGCATAAATTGAAATCATGATCAGAGACAGTAATTAAAGGAAAGAAAGGAAGAAGAGAATAAGATTAAAGTCATAGCCACAAAGCTCCAGCATCTTTCAAGATAGGCACCAACTCACCAGTAATATGAGTAGACATGACTCTCTCCAATCCACCAAACAATTTTCCTCCAACAAAAACCACCGGAAACTGCACTTGATCAACATCCTTCCCTCCTTTATCACCATTAATCATTGATAACTCCTTGATCACATAATCTTCCTCCTTCTCTTCCACTTCGAAGACCGGTGGGTTGACCCCTAGCCCTAGTAACAACTTCTTCACAACATGACACATGCAACACCCACGTCTGCCAAACACAATGACTGAATTCTCCAACACCAATTTTTGGACATGATTTTCATGACCATTGGTCACTACTAGCACATGTCCAGTACCACTCGTATTAGCACCACCATGATCACATGAGTCACGTGCCGGGAGTTTCCGGTTGCCGGCAGTGGTGGCCGGGGAGTAGGCTCTAAAAGGGATTGCTTCTTGCATGAGGATTAATTAAAGGATGGTGTGAGGGTGACAATGTTAAAGATTGGAATCATACGATGTGTTTTGTAATGTGCAGAGAGAGAGAGAGAGGGAGAGGGGGGGATCGGAGAGGCGTTTTATTGGGGTATTAATAGGGGAAAGGAGAAGACTCTAACGTCAACGGCAGTTACGCGATCTACTACGTCAAAAGGACAGTGGGGTGACGTGTTTTTACGTCACAGCCTGGTGGACGGATTCCTAGCTGCTACACCTTACTGACCATGACCCTTTCTTGTTTCTTTATATCTGGCTAACCAATCAAAAACATTTGTTTGCGTCCATGAATTCATTAAATATATAAACAATAACAAGAGGCCTAAGTCCAATTAAAAAGGGCAACTGCCAAAATTTACGAAAGAGATCCTTCAATTTTTATTTAATTTATAAATAGATCCATTAGGATTTTGGTTTAAACAAGAACTAAAGTGAGAGAATTAAATTTCACATTATTAGATATTATACTAACTTTTTTTTTCCTTCATGAAATGATTATACATATTAGCTAACTATATACAAGCTTGATATATTAGGTATTTGACACCTAACTGTATTTAGAGGAATCCCACGTCAACTGTGCCTATATGGCAAAATTTCCACTCTTGGATAAGCACCCAACAAGACCCATCTGATGGGACGAATATTAGAGACAATCTAATTTTTTTCTACCAGGATATGAGGATGAGGTGGATAACATGCCAATCTCTTATTCTAGAAGGGTTGTGAATTTGATTATATATATAATTCTCCAATATATTCTTTAATCAAATTTTTTCACTCAAATTAACAAAATTATATTTTTTATTTCAAAATTGCCCTTGATTTATATCAGAATAAAATAAATAAAAATTCTCAAAATATTTAAGAAACAAAAAAGTTTCAATATTACTCAAGCATTAAATTTTTTTAAAAAATATAGCTTTTTTCTTTCAAAAAATCAAAATTAATTCTCCAGTTTTAGAAAGAAAAATATAAATGTGTTAATTTGGATAAAAAAAAACTTGATAGAAAGATATATTGAAGAATTAATATTGTGTAGAGATATAACAAACATAATTAAAATAATAAAGACAAATTAGAGACTTTGATCAATCATATAAAGATAGATTAAGTTATTTATCTTTGATTTTTTTTTAAATAAATTTATCTTTCTGTTATGTTATTTATCCATGTCTCATAATTATGGTAATTTTGATATACATGGACTTTTGATATGACAAAACCCAACATTTATATGGAATTTGACCATAATTGTGATACATAGTTTTCACATTGTACATCATCCGTGAAACATTATACAATAATTTATAATAAGAATACTTTATTTATTAAAAAGAAATTTCCGAACCCACCACAAACTCAATGGAAAACAAGTTTTACTTATTTCCATCCCCAATAAACATATAAGGAATAAAAAATGCATAATCATTTCAAAACTGTTTCATTATCGTCTTTATTTATTTATCGAAATTTGAAAAGGCTATGTCTTGAAGAAGTTAATGGTACGAATCTCACATAAAGGCTCGATGAATCTTCTCTTCCAACCTGGCCGGAAGCCGAAACTAATAAACACCCAATGGAGATGCTTCAGAATTATCAACTCCTAGCGGCGACAAAAGCCGTTCCAGGACGGTGAGCTGTGTCCACGTCATCCATATAAACAAGGTTAGCTGTGATACAACGCATACGATCATCACTGCACCGCGTTGCATCATCTCGACCTGCCACGTGGAAATGGATCACGTTATTTTGATGGTGCCAACGTGGCTTTCCACTTATTTTAAAACCAACCCTTTCATTTTCTGACACGTATTAGAACCAGTCCACTTTCTAATTGCTGACGTTGAATCACCAAATCGAGAGTGGAGCCCACATGAAAAAATGACGTGGATTTGGGTTTTTAATGATCATTTATGCTCTTTCCATCTTTTTATTCCACGTTTTGTAGGCAGTCATAAGATAGGAACGTCTGTTATGCTGCTACTGCAAGTTATCGATTTTTTTTTTTTTTTAATTCCAATCGAAACAGATATCTTATATTATTCAAGAATCAATCAAAAATAATTTTAAAAAATATATTTTAAAGTCATGTTTTTCACATGAATATGGCGTCTTTAAAAAATTTAATTAATTTTTTTAAATATTAATTTCAATATTCGAATATAAAAAATTACCTCTTATTTTTCAATTTGCCCACAATGTGATTCTCGTGTTTGTTTTGGCGGGGTGTTGTTTTTCTTAGAGAATATCTTAAATTTCAATTTTTTTTTAATGAATTCTTAAAGTTCAATCTAATCCACTAATTCAATTTGAAATCATTTTTCATATATTGGGATTGCAGTGAAATGTACGTTTTAGTTTCTAAAGTTCTAAAATTAATATAGATTTGATAGCAATATAAAAATTCTTTCAAGACATCCGAAAAAACCTCTTTTATGAACTATTATTGTGTTACATATTAAGAGAATTTTTCAATAAATACTTAAAGAGATTTTAATAATTTACCTTATTTAGATTTTCTTTTTGGAAAATTCAAAAAAAAAATTCTTTGGTATTGAGAGATGATAACAACATTACTGTTTGGAAAACGCTAACTAAATAACCAATAAATTGTTGATCCAGGTAATGTGTAAGCTAGTTTTTAGACGAATTATTTGTTAATATATAAGATTCGAATCTTAAAATCATCTTTATGGAAAGAAGTTAAATTTTGTTGTCTTTAATCCAAACATAATTCATCATATTTTCAATGTGAGATAAAAAGAGAAAGAGGTGTGATTTTAAAACTTTTTATTAGAAAAAAAATGGTGTGAAAAAAAAAACTAGCAAAATACATCATTTTTTTCCAATAAAATTTTTAAAAATAGAACGTAAAAGATGAATTACTATTTTTTTTTAAAAATGAATTGTATTAAGTACAAGGGTACATACTAATAGTTAATGATCTCATACCAAAATCACTAGTAACAAATGCACGATATTTGTATCCATAATTTTTTTGAAACTATGTAGTGAAATTATGAGCTGTTTAGTTTTCATTTTTTTTTTTTTTTTTATGGAACTTCATAAACTTCATGAATGTTTATATATATGTACAAATGAACTGCTTTTTTAGATTGGTTGTACCGAATTGTTTTTATTCTAAAATGCTTTACAACAAAATAAAAAAATAAAAATGTAGAAAATATTTTTCTATAATATATATTACAGTTTTCTACGAATATACTAGGATAATGAGAAGGAAATGCTTTTAAAATCATCTGAAAAATAACTTCATGTCAATTGACGTGCAATTTATACTTTTTAGTTTCTAAAGTTCTAAAATCAGTATAGATTTTATAGCAATATAAAAACTCTTTTAAGACATCCGCAAAAACCTCTTTTATGAACTATTATTGTGTTACATATTAAGAGAATTTTTCAATAAATACTTAAAGAGATTTTAATAATTTACCTTATTTAGATTTTTTTTAGGAAAATTCAAAAAAAAAAATTTCCTTTGTATTGAGAGATGATAACAACATTATTCGTTGGAAAACGCTAACTAAATAACCAATAAATTGTTGGTCAAGTAGTGTGTGAGTTAGTTTTCAGACTAATTTTCTATTAATGTAAAAGATTCAAATCTTAAAATCACATTTGTTGAAAAAAGTTAAATCTTATTGCTCTCGCTTCGAAAATCATTAGTCATATTTTCAATGTGAGATACAAAAGAGAGAGAGATAGAGATGTGTGATTTTAAAACTTTTTATTGAAAAAAAAATGGTGTAAAAAAAAGAAGCAAAATACACTATTTTTTTTCCCAATAAAATTTTTAAAATCACACCTCTCTCTCTCTCTCTCTCTCTCAAAATAGAACTTAAAAGATGAATTGCTATTTTTTTTCCCTTTATAAATGAATTACGTTAAGTATAAGGTTACATACTAGTAGTTAATGATCTCATACCAAAAGCACTAGTAACTAATGCACGATATTTGTATCCATACTTTCTTTGAAATTATTCAGTGAAATTATGAGCTGTTTGGTTTTCATTATTATTATTATTATTATTATTTTTATGGAACTTCATAAACTTCATGAATGTTTATATATATATATATATATATATATATATATATATATATGAAATGCATTTTTAGGTTGATTGTACCGAATTGTTTTTATCCTAAAATGCTTTACAACAAAATAACAAAATAAAAACGTAGAAAATGTTTTTCTATAATATATATTACAATTTATTAAATTTTTGAGAATATATTAGGACAATGTGAAGGAAATGCTTTTAAAATCATCTAAAAAATAACTTTATTTCAATTGACGTGCAATTTATTTAGAAAAATATTTTTAATGTCCAACCAAAAAAGGACAAAAATACAAGGTTCATTCTACAATTAAATTATGTCTGTTCATAGAGACTTTATTCCGCTTTACTTGGAAACTTTAGCAAGCTGATAGAATAAAAGAAAAGGAGAAGAAAAATACCAGTAATACTTGTTGGAAAAATAAGTGAGTTACAGAAATACGAGGAAGATTACAAGTTTGGGTTTACTTTGACATTTGAGGTAGGTTGGTCGGTCAACTCTACGTGGTGCGTGGCAAATCCATAAGTGACTCAACTTATTATATAAGAAATACAAAAAAAAAAAAAAAAAAAAAAAAAAAAAAAAAAGAGAAAAGAAGAAGAAAAGTATTATAACATTTTTCCTGTTCATTCCCTATTCAAGTTTTTTTTTTTTCTCCCTCTTTCTCTTGCTGTATTTTTTTAAGCCCCTCTTTTGTCTTAATTTTAATCCTTATTTTGTAACTTTTTTTTTTAATTTTGATCATTAAAATTTTATTATATTTAATTTTTATTCCTATAATAAATCAATTTTTTCCCTCTTGTAGCATTTTTAAAGCCCCTTTTTTTATTTTTAGTGAATTTTATTTTTATTTTAATCCTTATTTTATATTTTATATTTTAGTTATTAAAATTTTATTATATTTAATTTTTATCTCTATATAAAAAAAATACTAAAAGAAAACGAAAAAAATACTATAACACATTTCCTATTCATTCACTATTCATTCCATGTTCTTTTTTTTTCAGGTTTGGTTGCTATGGCTGCTGGGCTTTTTTTTTTTTCTCCTCTTTCTCTTGCTGCATTTTTTAAGCCCCTCTTTTGTCTTTTAATAAAATTTACATTTAGTCCCTATTTTGTAACTTTTTTTAATTTGGTCATTAAAATTTTATTATATTTGTTTTTTGTTCTTATAATAAATCTTTTTTTTCACTCTTGTTGCATTTTTAAGCCCCTCTTTTGGCTTTTAGTGAATTTTATTTTTATTTTAGTCCTTATTTTGTAACTTTTTTTTATTTTAGTTATTAAAATTTTATTATATTTTATTTTTTTTCTATAATAAATATTAAAATTTTATTATATTTGATTTTTTTCCTTATAATAAATCTGTTTTTTTCCTCTTCTAGAATTTTTTTAAGCCCCTATTCCGGCTTTTAGCAAATTTTATTTTAATTTTAATCCCTGTTTTATAACCTTTTATTATTTTAGTTATTTACATTTTATTATATTTTATTTTTGTCCCTATAATAAATATTTTTTTTTTTGCTTTTAGTAAAACTGTTTAGAGTCTTATTCTTTATAAGTTGTTTCTAATGAAAGTTTATTTATTTATTTATTTTGATCATTTAATTTTTATCGTATGTAATTTTATCTCTATTTTTTTTGGTCAAATTCTCGATTTTACAAAGCTTTTTTGTCTTTTTGTTTTAGGTGATCTCTCTATCTTATTAACAAATTACGGATAAAGAATATATGGTAAAAATTAATCATCTAAAATTCAAAAAACTATTACTTTATTATTTTAATTACCAGTTATTATACATATTTCTAATAAAATATATGTTTATATCAAACAATATTTAATTAGTAACATTATATTACTCAACTTTACGGACTTTTCGTTTAGCTAACCCCTGCAACAAAATATGAGATATATATTTTATTTTTTTTCTTGAATTTTTTTCGCGTGATCCTTTTAAATAAGTATTTTTAAATTTTATATTTTATATAAATGAACACGTAAAAATATCGTATAACTCACTTTGAATTTTTTTAGATGATCCTTTTAAATAATTATTTTTAAATTTTAAATTTTATATAAATGAATATATAAAAATATTATATAGCTGGCCGCACGTATCACACAGGTATATTTTAGTTCAACACTAGAGAAAAATATATAAAAGAGAAGAAAGAAATTCGTACAGTACAGGTATATTTTAGTTCAACACTGGAGAAAAATATATAAAAGAGAAGAAAGAAATTCGTACAGTACTATATTCTCTATCAAGATTTGCTGCAAGGAGAAAGCAGACAACAGCAGTCTAAACTCTAGAGTTGCCTGCCACTCATATATTTTGCACCATACCCTCTTCTGACTCTTTGACCCTACTCGATCTCTCTACATGCCAATTGCCATGCAATTTAATTATAATTTGTTTGGGTGCTTAATTCACAGAAATAATTAATTTGGAAAATCATAGCATGCCACTCATCATGATAAGATTGTCTTAAATATTTTAATAACTAGCAAACATATTTGTATATTTTACTATTGGGATATTGTCCAAATCCAATAGATTTTGGACTTTACAATATGGATATCGTATTAAAATGCTTATTTAAAGATGAGGATGATTCCTATTTTGTTTGTTTTTTTATTTTTTATTAAGATATCTAAATTCAGTAGAGTTTGGTTGGTAACATTTTCCAATTCATGTTTGATTAATGGATTAAATATCATGCATGTGTATGGTATTCTAAAGTTCTAAATGATTGGAGAGAGCCTCTAGAAAGTTTGGCTTATCTTGCCTTATTTATTTTTGGATTTTTAAGGTATTTTAGATCTAAATATTCAGTCTAATCTTTTAGTGTTGGATCAACATATAACATAAACATAATTTTTTTAATTTTTTTTAAAAATATATAAAAATTTAAAATAAATAAATTATTTAAGTGACTAAAACTCTATTTTTCACGTAACAACCCCGTTAGGTAGCTTGCCTTGTTCTTCAAATAGTCCATAAAAATGCCATATCCCCTTTTTGTTTCTGCCTTCGGTGACTTTGGGTGTAAACCCAAATGTCATCATATTTTCCATAATGAAATTTCACAGTATAATTAACAGATGAATTTCGTGTTTAAGCAATGAGAAAACGACAGATGCTGGTAAACTCTTCGTACTTTTAATGTCTACCATCCAACATGAATTTATGGTTGGACAAATAAATAATATTGGTTTGTCCTGAGTTGGACCAATTCGTTATAAAGATCCATCAATGACCTCATCACTGAACGCATCAATAATTTCCGTGGTCCATCGAAGATCCCCCTTTGCTGGGCAAATCAGAAAATCAAACATCTTTTGTGCTTAAAGTGAGTTCTAAGAAATTAAGCAACGAATAAATGCTTTGTAATTTTGGTCTCGTCTCTGTCCGCAATTTTTGACTCACAGACATGCAATTGACAAAATTGGAGGTAAATTTCCTTCTCACAGAAGCATCTTCCAATAAAAGCAGGTTCAACTGGTCTCTTTTCAGGTAAAATAACAGTGTCCAAGGGCAAAGTCCTTCTCAGTCTTCTCTGGAGCCAGAGTCTCTAGCCTACATTACGATACTTGATCTCGGTTCTAAAGGTGGATTCTAGAAGCCGCAGGAGGAACTTAAATTCCCACTCAATGTGCATATTTTATTCCTGCAGGACTTCCCTAAAACAAGTATGAAGCTGGTGCGTCTGAAACCTTTGATAACTTAATGTGTGCGTGTGTGTGCGTGCGTGCGTGTGTGTGTGTGTGTGTTTGGGGGGAGGGTGGGTGGGTGGGTGTATCACAAACTTTGCTGCAAGAAATTTGGGATCAATTTCTGTGACAATTTTCATCTACAACATTTTTTTGTCAAATTGCAACAAGTAAATACAGCAAGGATCAATATTCTTGTCATTCAATCTAAAACACACTCAATGGGATGCTCAAATATACTTCAAAATCATTCGTAAAAAGCAATATATTATGTCGCTACCCGATATTTGTAGAACTTTCGAAAAAATTATTATGCTTATTTATTGGTTGAAAGTTTCATTTATTTAGGGATGTGAATTATTATTAATTTCGAAGTCGTCACTTAATTAAAAATCGAAAATAGATACTGATTTAGAATTTCTAAGATAAGAAGTTGATTATGTTTTTGAAAAGATATCAATCACTTAAAAATATTTTTATTTTATTTTGGTCATTAAAATTTTATTATTTTTGTTTTGTGGCCTCTATTTTAGCTTCTAATGAATTTTTTGTTTTGCTTTAGTCTATTTTTTGTAATCTTTCTTTTATTTTAGTCATTGAAGTTTATTATATTTGATTTTTATCCCTATAAGGAACATTTTTTTTTAGTGAAACTTTTCATTCAATTTAGTCCCTATTTTGTGATTTTTTTTATTTTGATTATTAAATTTTTATCACATTTGATTTTATCCTTACTGCACAAAAAAAAAAAAAAATGCAGTTTCACTATCATCCTAGGCCTTATTTTTAGCTATTAGAAACTTTTTTTTTTTTTTTCTGTTTTGATTCTTATTTAGTGATTTTTTCTTTATTTTGATCATTAAAATTTTATCATGTTGATTTTAAGTTTTGGCTTATGCATAAAAGGTTTTTTTAATCTTATTGTTTATAAGCCCTTTTCGGCTTTCAATAATTTTTATTTAATTTTTGAATTTTGATCTTTATTTTGTTTCGGTTTTGTCATACGTAATTTTTATTTTTATCTTTTTTATCAAATGAGTTTTAAAATATTTCAATTTCATCTGGATTTAATAATTTTTTTTTATTTTTTTTATTTTGAATGGTCCCTTCCTATTTTATTAGCAACTATGCATATAAGATCATAACAGAATTTGGCTGAACATAAAGCTACTCTCCGACGCTCGTAGCACGTAATAAACCAACTTATCATCAAGGCCAGACAAGGAACGAGGCCCATTGACCTTCAACACTTTTATACTAAATATGTCCTGTAATGGGCTCAGCTATCTCTGTTACTTTAGACCCATGTCAATTAGTTAAAGGTCCATGCATCGGGTAGATTTTTATTTTTTATTTTTTAAAATTTTTTAACAGCTTAATCCAACTTCTGACACCCATCAATCTAGTAAATTATAAATTAATCCATATAATTTCAACAAACAAATTAATTAATCTCTTTTATTTCAAAAATTATTATTTATTATTTTTATCAGTATTTATCATATTCAATTCAATATTATTTTTTGTTTCAAATTTACAAACCTATCACATTATTATTCTAATTATTATTATTATTATATATTTTTAATAAAATATTTATTTGTATCAAACAATATCTAATTAATAACATTACTAACATTATTATGTTACTCAACTTTATGGATTTTTTTAACTAATTTCGTGACAATATATGTAATATGTATTTTAATCTCTTCATTTTCTGAATTTTTTCCTGCGTGATTCTTTTAAATAATTGTTTTAAACTTTGCAGCAACGTCGGGACATATGCTGATACTTACCGATATTGGACTGTCTTCGTAAGTTGCTTCGTTTTAATTGTCACTGGGAAGACGGGTTGACTTATGAAAATGGATCTGTTCTTTTCAGTTGCAGGTGACAGCAAAGTTAGCAAGGCCGCGGGGGAGACCTGATCGAGCAAGAATTGCTCGAGGCAATTATCCTTTTGCCAAGGAAATGGGCTCCGGATTCAAAGTACCACAGGACTCTCGTAGCTCTCCCATGGATACTCATCGGCCTACAGATCACAGTGAAAGAAGGGTTATCAGTTTTAGGCAGAATGACGGTAGAGGGCAGCTTTCTTCACTGGAGCGTTCGTATAATAGGAGCTCTCCAGTATGTTTTTCCTTTATCATATTAGCAAACATTAACCACCCCCTTCCTCCAACTTTCTCTTTCCTTCATCTTATTCCTGTCTGTTTACTAGACAGTTCCATCTCATAGAATTTCTCTAGATGCTGCTCATAGACCTTCTCGTCACGATGACCATAGCAATGAAAGATATACCAAACAGCCTTCAAAGTATAGTGAAAGTCGTAGCCGTTATTACATTGACATTTCTGGTTCAAAACGTCTTCGTTCTGAAATTGCGGCATCTTGTCAAAAACTTTCACATATGCAACTGTTACATCCATTTATGACCTTGTTATGTCTGCCTTTGTTCTTATCAGGAGGAAGTTCAAGCTCGCAATACTGAAACTTCTGTTCGACGGTCAAGGTTTGGTCGTGGGAATTCTCAAAGAAGTGATTCACAAAGGTAGAGTTCGGATTTTGAACACTTTCTTGCACAACTTGCCTATCTTCTTTCTTTTACCTCATTTTGTAAGGATGGAGCAAGTTGGACATGGTGAAGGTGCTTAGAGGTTCTGTTGGGGATTGTCATCGACTATATGATACTAGAACTTCAACTGTGGCATACAGGGTAAGTATGTGAATCTGACATAGTGGATACATACGCATAATTTGTTATTTATACATTAAGCAATTCTCTCTTTGGGTTTGATTTGTATTTTGGACTCTGCTTAGGTAATTCATTTCTTGCAGGTGAGATCGATATAGGGGATGATCAGGGCATGATGCCTCCCAGCCATGATATGGATTACAGATCCAGGGATGATCTGCCCTCTGAGTCAGACGATGTATCATTATATTCTGTTGAAAATCCCCCACCCCATGTCTTCTCTCCTTCTCTCTTCAGTTCTAGGAATTTACTTACATGAAAAATGTACTTATTGGTCCAGTTACATGCAGGATCACACCCCCTGATCACCATCAAAGTCGTGTGAACGATGGCAGCTGAAGCAGCAAAAGTAGTTCGCACCAAGATCACTAAGGTGATTTTGGTTGTGATCATATCTCTATACAGTTGTGCATCATGTAGCACAAACTGTTTCTATATAAACTGGTCCTCAATATGGATAATGACTGCTGTGAAGGTTGACTGGTGCGGCACCATCAGGTGCTCTACTCTTAACTAGTCCAGTGTTGAAGTAGGCATTTATTAATTGCAGACCTTCAGAAAAAGTTTTAACCATTCTTAGTTTTAACTGATTGCGCTTGCATATGATAGAATGTTCAGTAATGAGAGCTGATGGAGATGGATAAAATGTGTTTTGTAGTTAGTCAGATGTTTCTAGATAAGGGATGTTTTAAAGCCAATCTGTAGAGAAGGCTAGCTGATTGTATATGGTAATGGCTATTCTTGCTTTAAGGCTCGTAGAATGCCTCAGCTCAGTTGAAAAAGCTCACTGCTTCGGTTATACTAGCATGTTCTTTTTGCATGCCTAAATCGAAAATGTACATGTTGTAGTTCGATTCAACGGAGTCCAATAATTTTAAATAACGATTGTTACATTATATAACAACTGTTATGTAACGGTTTCAGGACATCCCGTTATCGTTATTTTAATATTATAGTAAGCCGTGATCCGATATGATGACCGTGATTGTTTTTTCAACCGTTCGCTATTTAAAATTAGTCCATCAGTTGCATGTTCAGGTGGTTGGCGACATATTGACAGGATTCCTTGTTTACTTCGACTAGAAAATTTGGATCGGTGTTTGCAGATGTTCTAAAAAATGAAATATTGTGCAAAAATGAATTTAAAACTTGGCTTAGTGCTCTCTGCATCATGTTTAGCAATTGATTTACGAATACAACAATAGAATGCTTGATAGATAATTCTTACGTTAAATGTGATCAGCATTTTGGATGCATGTTTCTCTCAGCCAAATTGTTCTATAGCTACAGAAAACTCAAAAGATGCTGACAGACTGCTTTGCAGTAATCACAACCCTTGCTTCTGTTAGCATGTGCCCGGCATCTAAGCTTCTGGTTGATTGCTGGATATAGCAGCCTGTAAAGGTGCACTTTCTAGGCTGCGAGCAGAGTGGATTGAGACCTAACCTGATTCATTGCGTTCACTTCCTTTAATCTAGAAAAGCTGATCTCTGGTTCATCTTGTATTTAGTGATGCTTGGAATTTATCCTTGAAGCACTCTAGCTGCCACCAGTCCAGCTGCCAAAGCAGCCCCAAATAAGGCATGCAATCTCACACAGTAATATTTTGCCATGAAAATCTTCCCTTTGTCCTGTAATATTCATCATATTAGCATGATATGAGTATTATGTGGGATCAGAACCAGAGGAGACTGAAACTGAAGAAGCTTAAACCATCATGCGTTACTTTAGAACTGACCCTGTAGTTTTCTTCAACGAAGCTAACTGCCAGTTTTCCCATGGGTAAGGTCAGAGCACAAAGAAGCTGGAATACCCATGATTAAGTCTATAAACCTATGAAAGTACAATGGTCAAAAGCAATATGTTTTGAACAAATAATTATGGACTTACAATGCAAGTTAAAGGAAGAATTCTGCTTAGACCAAAACCAATTAAAAGAGAATACAATGTTGCAACGGCTACTTTCACCACTCCAGAACCTCTTTCTGTGCCAATTCTAACCTGCATAGACGTAAAAACAAGACAGTGATGCTCTAACTTCAGAAAAGCAATTAAATAAATGGATAATGCCGAACTGATTGTAATTTGTACGCACCAAAGGGGAAAACTTCCCAACAGCCTTATCTCCTTCAACCTGAGACAACATTTTCAGGTTATTTTGCCGAATGCGATGCTAGTTATGGCAGGGTTTGCAACAAATCCACAGCTGGGACATAAACAGAAAGCTACCTGATGAAAGTGACTACAAAAGAGGATTAATGTTGTTGTGAATCCCACAAGGAGTGATGAAGAAAGAATTGTCCCAGTTAAAGGAAGAATGCTCATCTCACTGTCAAACAAACTGAACCAATATCAGCAATGCATACAACTAGATCAAAAGCTACGTAAAACTGGGTTGGTGGTGAATTTGAAGAAATAAAGTATACAACCTCGTGCTGCCAAGCAATAAGTAGAAGGCAGTAGTCGCAAAGGGGCCAAACGCTGCAAAGCACAAGGGCTCGCCCAATCCTTGGTAACTTAACCGAAATGGTGGGCACTGCAGCAGATACTACACAGCTTCAGAAATTCTTTCAAGATGAAGATTGATTATATAAAAAGAAGACATGTGACTACCATGCCACCATGGAATTAGATTTGCAACTATGACTCTCCAAGTGCAAGTTCTGTGGATCTAGGAGGCAGCTCAAATGTAGAAGACACTATAGCATTTTATAGCAGGAGGGAGATTCAATTCTACAAAATTGATTTCAGCATTCCACAAACTAGTAAAATTTCCTTACCTGATATACATAACCACAAATAATTGCACAAGCCAGGAATAATAATGCACGGACGTTTCCTGCCCCTATAGATGTCCATGCCAGGCCCACAAAGCCAAGGAGAAGTGACGAGAAAGCAGCAACAAAGGCAACTGAACGGCTTCCCAGAGCCATACCAAAGCACAATTAGCAAAAACTTACTGGTTTTCTTTTAGAATAAATGTGCTGCTTTTGCATTGAAACATGAAAGGTCATAGTTTCTATTTATTAATTACCTGCCGACCAATTTCACAACCGATTCTTTCTTGTTCTTATCTGCTCCTGTATCGAAATCATAAACATCGTTGCTGCCCATGGATCACACATTAATTTTAAGAGCTTGAAGAAAAGGAGATAACATATCGTACTCATAAGGATAGTTTGCCGATGGTTTACAGTTATATTTAGCAAACATACAGCCAGTGAAATAACTCATTCTAGGAGATTTAGACTAAGAAGTAAGAACCACACTAGTTTAGGATGCACAAAAAATGAAATTCTCCAAAGAGAGAACACAACAAATACCACTCATTGAAGCACCTAAGAGGTCAGCTGCTTCCCTTAGGCATCTCAAGGTCCTTCAAGAGCCTATCTATGCTAGTTCAGCAAATCCCTTAAGGCAGGAACAGAAACTACGTACCATCTTCTAGAGTAAGTGATGAAAACTTTAGCAACCAAAGTTACATAAAACTTAAGACAACCTAACTGTATACTTGTGCAGTACAGACAACAAAACACACTCGTAGAGTGAATCAGTAGGGGTCTACATTCTATTGAACCACAAGAAAAGGAAAAGTTTGGAAACCGATGCCCACACAAACGTAGTCTGGTCCAAGGATTACTGTTAATTAAGCAAGTTCCAACTTAATTTTTTTTCAAATCACACTCCTATAGTTGCAGAACTCACCTTAAATTGAGCCAAGTTATAATCAGAATTGAAGAAACCAAGAGCACAAAGTATCGTCTAGCTGAAAATATGCCATTTTGCAAATAAGCAGCTGCACCACCAACCTGTTCCACAAAACAAGAAAGATGAATGCAGCGTGTATTACTAATGTAAAAGGACGCAGCGAATAAGAGATCGATGAAGTGTGGTGCACATCATCAACCATTGCATTCTCAAAAGCATAGTCACACAATCAACGTTCAAAGAGCTACGCATTTGTTTCACTGTAAATGTAAGGAAAAACTCACAGTTAGTGGAACCAAAGCAACAGAGTAAATAGGCAATTTGATTGCTCTCCATATCAAGGTTACATTAGAAACATCCTCCGCCATTTCCCCTTCATCTTTATTGTCAGCACAATCTGCTCTACTTACTGAAAAAACCCGCCAACATTGAATACCTCTCTTGAATTCTAACCTTCTTCTACAAGTCCCATGGAAAATTTTCTGTGCACTACAGCAGAACATCAATGATTGCTTGAAAGCATTCGGAAAAAGAGCTCTTGGATAAGACCTGAGAAAGTTGGTCAAAACAAAAAAGATGAGAGCTGAGAAAATAAACAGTCAGTAAATCTAGAAACAATAGGCATGTATGGTGCGCAGATGTACTCACTTTCTCTTCTGTTCTAAGGTAAGTAAAGCAGTTCGACGAGTCAAACCAAACTCAACAAAAGCATTAGAAACATCAAAAACTATTTGAACTCCAAGCTACCCACCCAAGCACTATCATCAATAACATTTTTAAGAATTAATACAGTAGCAGCAGCATCAATCATTTTGAATCCATGAATGATTGGACTAAACCAAAATTCAATTTACTGATTTAGATTTCAATAAAGCTTATTAATCATGCCATCTTAATTAGCATTTGTTAAGCTGCACCTTTCGTTCAAATCATGCACCCAATTTAGCAGAATCAATTGCATTGATCAACTAATAATATATCAAATATACTGAACAATTTAACTTGCCTTGTTGTATAGCTCTGCCCCATATGATATTTTTGGAGTTTCTTGAGACAAGACCCCTGGTTGAGGTTACAAAATGTTGCAGCCATTATCGCTATCTAATGGACTATATTTTCTTTATTGATTATCTACAAGCAAGAAAGAAGAGAGTAAACATTCGGTTCAACATGCAATGATTTGTCCCTTTAGCGGGTAATAAGAAACAAAACTAAAAAGAACCAGGATAAGAAAAAAAGGGAAAAAGGGAGAGAAAACCTTGAAGACAGGAAACCATCTTGCCCATGCATCTTTCTCTCTTTTTCTGTCTGTATTCTAGGAAGAGATAAGAGAAGGCAACATTAGTCCTATTCATCACGAAAGAGTAAAACTGTAACTGACAACAAGGCAACTGTAGTAACTAACAGATAGGAGGAAGGCTTCTCTCTTCTCACAAAAATCCTGTCTTGGCTACATGAGGGACCAATAAAATCTCAACATGTAAGCATAATAAGGATCAAGATTTTGTGTTCCTTGTCAAGATGGTCCTACCAATCTTTAATTAAAATTGGGCTCCGGTTTCTGGTTTGTGTTTAGTCCAGCCTGACCATATAGGAATTTTGGGCTTAATTGAGCAGCTAGGGTTCAAGGTCTTAGCCTCTTAGGTTGATGAGGACTTGAATATATTTGATAGATGGTCGGTAAAAACCTTTTTTTTTTTTTTTTTTTTTTTTTAAACGAAAAGACGCCCGGGGGGTTGTTTTGGGGGAGATGGGGGGTGGTGGGTGTGGTGTGGGTGGTGGTGGTGTGGGGTGGGGTTTGCTTCTTCTCGATTAGTTTGCTTGTAATACTATTTTTCACTTTAATAACAAAGATTATTTATCGATTTTACTCCACAGTTAGTTCAATCACAAGAACAAATAAAAGAAAAAAAGAAAAAAAAATGAAGATGGCCTTTTGGTCATAAAGTGGAATTTTTTTTAATGTCACCAATTTTATCTTTGGCAACTTAAACTGTTTGAGAAAATGATGTGAGATTAAATATATTGATATCGAAGAAATAAAGGCATTTCCAATAGAGAAAGATACAAGCAATTTAAATAACAAAATAATTATTGAAGGGGAAAAAAGGAATATTTTTCTTGAATTGGTCATCCTTAATTTGGTCCTTTTATATTTGAAGTTGCATTTGCTACAACATTAAGGATTAAATTAAGTAAGAACTTTTACGGAAATATCTCAAGGCTTTTTTTTTTTTTTTTTTTTTTTTTTTTTTTTTTGAGAATGAGTTTTAAGTATATTTAGAGATGAATTAAAGGATAAATTACTAGTGGAAAGAATTATAAAAGAGGAAATACTAGTAGTGATAGGAAACACAAATAATTATTTATTTATTTTTATTTTTTGAGGTTGTCTTTTTAGGAATAAAAAAAAGGAAAAATAATGAAAATGAAAGGCATTGTTTGGGTTAGTGAAAGGGTAAATTTATCCTCCAAAATACCATTTTTGGAATAATTATTACCCCTTTAATAATTACTACCCCAAAAAAGAAATCAAGTATTAACCTACAAGGGTAGCTCATTGGTTGATGGTTGGATAAAAGCTCGTGAGTTCACAGTTTCATTTTCACTTTTAATAAATTCGTAAAAATATTCATTTCTCCATCTTTGTTGTCTACTAATTAGGTCTACGGCTATTTTAATTGATAATTACGTGGATCTGATTATTCACATATCCAGAATTTATCTCATTTTTATTTGAAGAATATATACGGACTCGAATTTTTTATCATAAAAAAAATCAATGATTTTTATTAACCCAGTGCCAAACATAGGTTTTCAAGTGAATAAGAAGTCAGCATGAATTGTTGATTCCATCTCCCAAGGAAAAAAAAACAAAAACAGTAATTACCATTGTCATAACCTAATTTTTCCTTTAAAGGAAAAAATCAAAAAAGGAAAAAAAGAATAATAAAAAAAAAAACAAAAAAGAAAAACATATAAAATCTCCAAAAATCTGTTGAAATCTTTCACAAATCTTTTTTAATTAGAATCTCCTTATTTTTAGCTAGAAAAATCTCAAATTCAAGATTTGATAATTAAAATAGGAATGTGAATTGATTTTGAGAGAAATTTTAGGACGTTTTCGGCCTATAAAAAGCTTTCGGATTTCAATTTACGCGGAGAAAAAAAATGAGGAGGGAGGAAGGATTCGGGGTTGAGAGGGATTGAAAATCAAAAGCAAAAGGCTTAATTTTTTTATTTTTTAGTCACCGCATTTTTTTTGGGTTTCTGTTCTTCATCGCCTTGGTGTGTTCATCGGCTAAAATTGCTTCCCGTTATCCTTGACTTCTACAAGGCTTAATTCATGAATCTTGAGTACTACCCAAACATCCACATTCATCGAAGTCATTAAGAAATTTTAACATCTTTTCCCAAGTCACAAGTTTGCCCGGGTTTGATTTAAATTTTGTCAATCTCTATTTTTTGTATTTTTGCTTCGCCAACCCTTTAATTAGTCACTTGAATTGTTGTTAATTTGTATTCTATTTTAGATCTTAGGCTTTGGTTTAATTGAATAAGCGAATTTCATGTCATCTACCATCACAAAAAAAAAAAAAGAGTAAAAGTGGTGGGTTAATGGTTTAGGTATATGATGCTTTTTTTTTCTTTCCTTTTCTTTTATTATTCATTTATTTTTTTAGCTGTTTATTTTTACTCATTGTTGTTTTTTTCATATTAATTTAGAATTTTTATTTCAATTTTTTTATTTTCTTTTCTTTAATACGTATTGCTAGAAAAAAATAAAAAAAATCTTAACGAAGTCTCCTATCCGATAGGGACCGATGTCATAAAAAAATACTTAAAAATTTTGGCGAAGCCTCCTACTTGGTAGGGACTAACGCCACAAAAAAAATTAATAATAACATAATCATAAATAAATAACATTGATGAAATCTCCTATGTAATAGTGGATCGACATCACAAAAAAGACAATTCAAAATTTTCGACGAAGCCTCCTATTCGATAGGGGTCGACGTCACCAAAAATCACCTTTTAAGATGTCATCCGATGCGTCGGTTATGTCAAGGCTTTTAGTGGATCCGATATTTGAATCGACGTGTCACCCAACGAAGGAGACCGACGATCGTTTCAATATGATGTCACGCTCAAAACTAAAAAATTCAATTTGTTAAAAAATGGGAGTTTAAAAAATCAGAAAATAATTTGACGTAAATAAAATATTTTAGGAGATAAATTTAGAGCTAAATCGGACGTGGTACCTTTTTCGAAAAGGGCGTTTTTGGGTGATCGATATCTTCCCAAAAGCGTAATCAACTCCTTACCATGGAATCTCCGAACCAGATGTCCGTTTTAGGTTCCTAGTTCCTTCAATATTAGGTGGCGACTCCAAACTCTATAAATAAACTTGTAAATATTCAATCTAATTTTAGATATTTTCGAGGAGTCCCGTCCGATGTCGGATAGCGACAACGATTATTCGAATTCATCCATTGCAATGGATAAGTGCTACAAGACATTGCTATTTTGACCTTGAAAGGTGAAAGGGGAAAGATGAATTAGCGGTCAAATGTCACATGCTTTTGTTCTTATTCAGCTAGTCTCTTAATTCTTCACAAGAAGTGAGTTGTCACATGTCATTCCTCAACAAGGGAGAGTGAATCTCCCTAAAGTCCCAAGTGTCCTTCATTTCCTCTATTCACGAGGACTCTTACTTGTCTTAACGTGGTTTGTAACAAAGATTCAAACTCCAATTCCTTTGAGCTTAGAAACATCTTTTAAAATATCAATATCCCTTTTTCACGCAGCATAATTAACAAGATTTGCATGGCTTCTCCAACTATCAAACAGACCACAATACTTTGTCTTAGGATGATAAACTTATGGAGTCCGTAGATTTGGAAAATGCCTATGCAATTTGAAAAGTGATTGAAAAACTATCGAAAATACCATAACAAGAAAATTTAAGAAATAAAAAGATATGATAAGGTAAAAAAAAAAAAAAAAAGGGTACAAAAACCATATTAAAAAATATAAAAAATAGAAAGATGTTTCGTGTGATTAATCCCACAACTATATATGCTCTCAAAGTCTTTTCATTTTCTTGAGAAAATCTTTTCAATTTACAATGGCGTTTAAAGGCATCGATCCCCCCGAACATAAAGCAGGCACTATAAATTTTTTGTTTTTTAGGTCGATGGTCAGTGAAACAAATTATACATATATTGTTATTTGAAGATTTATCCATAGTTTACCTATTGAAAACAAAGAGTAATATTTACCATCCCAACAATATATATATATTTTTTGTTGGGATGGTAAATATTACTCTTTATATTCGAAAGGTAAATTGTGGATAAATCTTCACATAACAAAAGTTATTTATCCTATGAACCCTATGCCAAACATAACCTTTTAAATGAATAAGAAGCCAAAAAAGGTAATTTTAAGTATTCGAGTTCATCGTCATTAATTTGTAGCCATGTCAATGGATATATAAATGCTAGCTATATGGTGAGAAGTGGGCATGTTAACATTGGAAGATGAATCAACGGTCACAAGATTTTGTTCTTATTCAGCTAATCTTTCTACTCTATACAAGAACGTGATCCCCTGACTTGTCCCTTGTGATCCCCTGCGAAGAGAGAGTAAATCTCTCTGTCCCAAGTGTCTTTCTTTACCTTCGTTCACGAGGACTCTTACTTGTCTTTACATGCTTTGCACAAAGATTCCAAACTCCAAGTCCTTTAAGCTTAAGAACATCCTTAAAACTCTCAACAACCCTTTTTCACATAGCATAATTGACAAGAT